AACTGTTTCTGCCATTGACTTGCTGTCGAAATTCACTTGAGTGTCTTGCACAGTTCATGTACAGGTTTTTTAACAATTGAATGTATAGAACCCAGGGGTTTGGATCACACTGACAGCTACAGCAGGCCCTGTGTTATTTTCTGTTGATGTTGGGATTATCTCTGTGTTTGGAAACTCTGAGTACATAAACTGAAATAGTCCCCTGAAAGTCCAGGATTATAGGTAAATAATTTTTTTTCAGTGAACCTTGTTCAAATGTCACAGGTTTGTAATGATGTATAAAGTTTCATATTACTTTTGATGGTGTGATGATGGATTGTGTCTGTAAAGGACTAGATGACTGTAGCAACAGACTCAGCAGGTTGTATTTTAATCTTGTTTTGTGTTGCGGTAACTTCAGGACACATCAGTGATTTAAAATTTCTGTGACTGCAGACATTTAAGTACGTTCAAAATAACAGCATTGGTGGTGTGTACAAATGTGTTTCCCAGCCGATTCATGCATCCTCTTAATGTAATGTGAGCCTAACTCCAACCAGTCAGCTCTGTGTTACTGATCAATGATCTGATGTCTAAACAGGCTCAGCTGCAGTTTGTGCCTCTCAAGTACTGTCATGTTACATCTGAACAACGAGCTCATCAATACTTTGTGTTTTTGCTGTTTGGGACAAACCGTGACTCTTTGATCACCACCTGCCTCTGTTGTGCAGGTGTTTTCAGAGACGAGAACATAATAACCTGATTTCCAAGTTGGGACTTGTTTTCTGGTCCCGGGATGGAACAGCTCTCCTCAGTAGATTTGTATGAAATGAGCACACAGCAGTAGTGGTATCTGTCTGCAGTACTGTTGCTGTCTTCTGTTTTTACACACACTAACTGAAACATGTTTGCATCCAACTAAAAGCAGATGAGTGTCATGTCATGAAATGTTAGTCCAGTCTAAATGTTGCTTTGAGATGAGTTTAATACTATGTCACAAAAATAAGCACCGACTTTACAGCTACCACCCAGGCTAACTTATAGCTAACACCTGTGGTAAAAACTCGAGATGCCTGCTGACAAAGGGCAAACAATCAGTTTTGTTGAGAAAGCTGTGGAGAAAGCGGGGAGGAGGTGGAGAGCTTTTTGTTGCACTGTTACAGTCCTCACTGGTTCTCCCAGTAAAATGTCTTGTTACTGTGAAACTCTTCCAGGAAACAAGTTTTCTGCTGAGTGAAGGAGCTGAGCACTTTGATGTTCCTGTTCAGTTTGCCATCTTTTTAGCTTGATAAAAGGCTTCATTTACCCAGAATTCATAGCAAATGAGTCCAGCTTGAGCTAGTCAAGAGCTAAACATCAACAGGAAGTATAGAAATCTGTTGGTTTGATCTGAGCCAGAGTTTATCTCTGTCACCCTGATGTTTTGGAAAATGATCCTGATCTCTGAGTCTGTTGTGATGGGAACACTGTAGACAAACGTTCTGAACTCTTCTGACTCTGCTTCACATTGTTGTGAGAATTCAGCTTCTTTCTGCATTTTCACTGGATTTTGTCTTTACTCTTTTGTTGTACTCTTGGGGTGCCCTCGAAGCTTTGTATAAGAGGCAACCTGTTGTGTTCTTTAGGGAAGAAGAAAGTACTGCTGAAAATCAGCGTATGGTGTCACGAGCAGAAGTCTCGAGTGGAGACTTGCTGATGTGGGTCAGGTTCATTGTAATTGGTGGACGACCTTGTGTATCTTCTGTCATTTATTTGGGTTTGATGAGTCTGCTGTTCAGGTGCACCAGCACTGGTTTATACTGTGCACCATTGACCTGTGTAAACCAGCAGGTCTGCTAGTTCCTCTGCTGTTTGAAAACTGTTGTGGCTGGGCTGGGTGCTCAAGAGATGCCAAGAGACCAGGACATGGTTAAATACAATTATCCATATAACAATAAACATAGAATTAGCCAGTAATCAAAATGTCTTGCAGCAAAATATGTTCAACTAAATGTTGCAGCTTTTCTTTGAGCCTTTAGCACATGTTCATTTTCCAGATTTGTGTTTGTTTGGAAGTAGATTATGGCTTTATTTATTTTTGCCACTGAGAATCCTGTCTGTGCTCCAGACATTCAGAAAGAAACTGTTTAGATCTCACAGTGGATCTGGTTTAGATCCAGTTTATGAAAATACACAGACTTGTAATTAAGCTCAGGTGCTGATGAATCTCTTCCTGGTAGTTTTTTAAATTAACAAAGGGCATTTTAGAAAACAACAGCTATTGTTAGCAGCTTCTGTTGCTTTCTCCAGGTTTAAGTGTCTGACGTCAGCGGTAGCGGACGTCGCCCGCTGTACATAGTTAATGCTAATTATGTGACACTTGAGTCTGGTGGTTAATGTGCTGCTCTGCCAAAGATTGTCTGTGAGTGAAGATGCATCACTTCTCTCTCTGTTCTTGTAATATGTGGAACTCCTTAAGCTCTGAGTTGTGAATCAGGAGCTTGGTTATTTGGATCAGTTACTTTGTGAAGTGGGAATGTTCCAGCGGTTTCTGTGTCACAACAGTCAGTGTCAAACAATAGCCAGTATTGAGCTGTTTATAACTGTATTAAGATGCTCATGTTGAGAGCTGAACTTAGACAGCCATTCATGTTGACCTGTATATTGACTGTACAATTCTTTTGTTATTTATGTAAATAATGTGCCTTTTAAGCTGAGAGCTGCTAGAAGAAATTTCATTGTGCTATGCATAATGACAATAAAGATTCTTGACTCTTGATTTGACTTGATTCAGACTTTATGTTGGATTCAGATCCATTAAAGTCCTGAAGAACCTTTCCTTCTAACCACCTGGTGTCACCCTGCAGGTATAGCTGATCACCATGGCGACGGAAATCAGCTCGCCGCAGCGCTTCTTCCACATGCCGCGGTTCCAGCACCAGGCCCCTCGACAGGTGTTCTACAAGAGGCCAGACTTTGCTCAGCAGCAGGCCATGCAGCAGCTCACCTTCGATGGGAAACGAATGAGGAAGGCAGTGAACCGTAAGACCATCGACTACAACCCCTCTGTCATCAGATACCTGCAGGTAGTACACATGTTGAAACTTTAATATTTATTTCTTTATCAACATAGCCTGTGTCTGTTGAGACTGTGTTCTCAGTGTGTCACAGAGCAGCCACTCAGTTTGTTTCCTCTGCAGAACCGTCTGTGGCAGCGAGACCATCGAGACTTCAGAGCCATCCAGCCCGACGCAGGATTTTATAATGACGTGAGTCCACACACAGGCACTGGTTTGTGGTTTCCCATGCTACATCCCTGCCACTGCCACCAGGAGTCTCATTCCTGAATCCTACACAGCAGTTTTCTTGTTGACAGCAGTTTCAGTAAGAGTGAGCGCTGGCCCAGTTAAGTGTTGTAATGTAGAGCTAGTCACTGTTATACTTGTAAAGAGGCAGGACAGTTGCACAGACTCAGACTGAACCGAGCCTGAAACATTTACAGAGTGTCCCCGAGACCGATGTGAAGGGCGAGATAATCTGGATCTGAGCCACCAGTAAATGATCTAGAACAGTTAGTCCTTTAATCGGTCGGCTGAACGATGTGCAGCCATTTTCATATTTTGTTAGGTTTGCGCAGTGTTAAGGGACAAATACCAAACGGTCACTGTTCCAACAGTATTTATTTATTTGTGCTTGTTCACATATGATTATAAATGTAGAAAACTGAAGCATTTTGATATTTTCTGTAGAGCTCTCTGTTCTGATGTTTTATCAGCAAAGAGATGAATCAGTCGACTGATAATAAATGTCTGATTAATTACCAATAAGAAATAATGGCTTTACTTGCTCTGCTGGCCCAGACCCTTTGTGTTTGTGCTGTGAGACGAGTGTGTGTTAATACAAACCCTGTGTGCTGCAGCTGGTCCCTCCTGTGGGCATGTTGAGCAACCCGATGAACGCCGTCACCACCAAGTTTGTCCGAACCTCCACCAACAAAGTCAAGTGTCCTGTGTTTGTCATAAGGGTGAGCAGCCGCGTTGCTTCTTGTCTGTTTTGCCTGTCGACTTCCAGTTTTGTGGACTGTATTTGTAATCTGCTGTTTGAATTCACCTGACTGATGCTACTACCAATACTTGTATTTAAATAAGGATTCTTTAAATATATTTTCAAAGGCCAGTGTTTGAGGTCTGCAGCGTCTGAGACGTTTCACATTGTTAAACAAACCTCATGTGGACAGACTCAGTAATGGTCCTGTGTTTCCTCTGCAGTGGACTCCTGAAGGCCGCCGCCTGGTCACCGGAGCCTCCAGTGGAGAGTTCACTCTTTGGAACGGACTCACCTTCAACTTTGAGACCATTTTACAGGTAAACATCCGTGTGTGCATGTGTCACTTGGTGCACTGTGCTCCACCCTCCGTCTGCTGCCTTCAGCAGTCTGTAGCTCCAACATAATTTACAAACCACTTCTCCAGCTCTGCGTTATATACGTAGCTGCATGACACCATCAGGATGTGTTCAGTGATTCCAGTGTCCCAGATGTGAGGACCAGGTTGTTTGTTTTGTGTTGGCCCAGGAAGCTGTGATGCACATGGTTCACTGTTTTTGATGTGTTACCTGATGTGAGACAGTAAATGACAGATACTTTGGTAATAAAGATTGTCACTGGTTTTAGCCTCAGTTCATTTCTGTGACGTCTGAGTTACGTCACCTTGTCCTTTTGTGTTCAGTGTTATGTGTCCTGTTCCACTTGTTAAATCAAATGCTGTGTGGCACACGAAGCCTGATGTTTAGACACAGAAGTAAAAGCTCTCCCTCCTGATCACCCCTGCAGGCCCACGACAGTCCGGTCCGAGCAATGACCTGGTCTCACAACGACATGTGGATGCTGACGGCGGACCACGGCGGCTACGTGAAGTACTGGCAGTCCAACATGAACAACGTCAAGATGTTCCAGGCTCACAAGGAGGCCATTAGAGAAGCCAGGTTTATACCCAATCTACCATTTTCTGTAGTTAAGCCGAGTCTGTGCTGCTCAGTGTCAGCACTGCAGTGCCCCCGTACAGCCACGTGGGGGCACTGCCTCACCTTTCGCCACATGTTGTTGTTGTTGTGGTTGATTAATGACAGATGTAAGTGTGTGCTGTTGCAACACTGCAGTGATCTGTTGTTGATATTCTACCTGATGTGGCTGATGAGCTGTTTATCTGTTGATTGTGCTGAATAAAGTCAAAAACCATTTATTCTAACTGGTTGGGGTAGGCCCAGTGGTGTGGGTGGAGAGGAGGGGCTTTCATTCTGAACAATAAAGTCTTAGCAGGGATCAATAAAATGAATAAAGAAGCACACAGTCACGCTGCGGCTGGTCTGAAGCTCAGCCAACAGGCAGCTGCAGATGTTGTAAATAAAGGTTTCACTTCCACATGTGCACCTTAAACACCATGGCCCTGAGAGTAAACATCCATCCTGTTTTTGTTAAAGTGGGAAATATCCTCATGTGTAGTCCAAAAACACTGAAGCCTACACTTCCCATAATGCACCTGGATAGCATCAGTCACCTGAGCCTCCCTGCACACTCCACACCTGCAGCCTGTTTCACAGACTAGATGTAGGGACAGGTCTGAGATCCAGTTCTGTTTTTTTATTTTTAATTGATGTTTTTTCATTTTGCTTACCTGCATCAGTTAGGCTCTGCAGCCAAAAAGACCCTACAGGTGGGGACACACCAGACGACTGTTCAGCTGTTGGTGAACCAGATTTGGACGTGATGACTGATCAGACCCACTTGGACCGAGTCTGGGTCAGTCGGGGTCTACCGTCAGCAAATGAGTTTGTGTGACACCTCTCCAGGTGCAGTCCTCGGAGGCCTTTTAAGTATGATTGATATCAATGGCTGAGGGCGTCACTTACCTACTCTCAGCCAGGTGTTACCGCACAGTAGTCAAGCGTGTTGTCCACTGTGTTTGTGCAGTCGTACGGTGGGTGCTGTCAAACACTAAATCTGCACAGGTTGGTGGCAACAGTTGTGTAGTGTCTGTCCAGTCTGTAGGTTTCAGCCAGTCATGTGTCTCCCCATCATTACTGGATTGTTCCCTTGCGATCCCTCATGTTTACTCTCTCTTTCCTGGCTGACGTCTGTAGAGACAGCCAGGAAACAGACCGATCAGGTACGCAAACGTGGGATAACTCAGAGACACTGTTGTCAACAGACATGGCAGTGCAAATGTTTCGAAGTCAACAAAACAGCTGCAGAGTGATGTTAGTGAGTGATACTGGTGCAGGACAGGTTAATGAATCTGAGCCCTACCAGCCTTCATCTCAGCACAGGGTCCATGGGTTAGTGTGGTACCTCAGTGTCAGGCTGTCTGCCCTCTGCTCCAGCAACGTTAGCCATCCTGTTGATAATGTCAATAGAAGAGGACTTTCAAATACTAGCTTGTTTATTACACAAATCAAATATTTATTACTGAGTAAAACTAAAATGTGTGTTCACTTTTTAAAAAAAGTAAAACTACTTAGATCCACAGAAAAGGATTCGGGTTCTGCGTCAGACATCAGGCTGGTTGGAGATGATCCAGCTCTGATCAGAACCGATCACGGTGCAGCCACTTTGCTTCTGTCTGATTGATTTGACCTCACATTAACAGGCAACACCAGCTGCAAGACTGCAGGGCATGATGGGAAATGTCCGGGTCTCCCCTGATTTAGGGGTGATTGGTATAGATGTTGGATCAATAACACGATGCTTTATAGAAACTTTAATTGGAGACATTTAGTTCGGATCAGTCAGATTTTGCTCAATGAAGGTTGATTGTGTCAGTACAATAAATATTGAGCTGAAAGGTTCAGGTTATAGCTCCTGTTTCTGCTCTACTGATCGACCTATCTATCGGCAGAGTCAGTAGGACGGTCGGCTGACCCCGTGTTTAAAGCCGTGAACAGCAGGCCTGTGCGATTCCGACAGGTGGAGTTTTGCTTTGTAACTGGGTGAACTGGCCCTTTAAGTCATTTTCTGATTGACAGGAAGTGATGTGAGATGTCTCGATGTTATTGCAGCTTTGAGGTTTGTTAAACCAAACTGAGTGTGAGGATCAGTTCACTATCACCATAGAAACTGTTCTGTCAGAGCCTGTCCTCCGGGATTTCACTGTCAGACAGCACAGCAAACGTGTCACAACAGTATAGACAACCTACTCCAACTCATAACTAACACCCGTGTTTCCATGGTAACGGTCAGTGACCTCTGCTGACGGACAGGTGAACCATGGCCCATAGCTTGTTGTTCAGGTGAGGGGGGTGAAGAGTGTTGATTGTCTGTTGTGGTGCTATTACAGACCCTACTGACTCATTTCAGTAAAGCGTCCTGTAACTGGTAATTCATTTTCTGTTGAGTGTTCCAGTCCAGTTGTTGGCTCAGCAGTACTTTTTAGTTTGGAAAATCTTAGTTTACCCAGAATTCATAGCAGATGAGCCCAGCTTCAGCCAGTCAGCAGCTCTGTTCCACCGATACATGTAGACGTTTGAAGTCGAAGTTCAATCTGGGCCGCAGTCTCAGTTTGTCTTTGTGAAACCAGCTCCTGACGAGGACGGTTCACTGTTTAATCTGAGCGCCTCCTGGTCGGTCTGAGCCGACGGCCAGCAGCTGCAGGGCTTCTGTCATGTGATGTGGTCATGTCGATAGTTTGATTCTCTTGGACTGAACGCCACCTCTCAGGATGAGTGGAACCGGCCATTACTGCCCAGCGGTATCACAATCACTTTGCATTTAGACTTTGTCTCAGTTTGTTATTCACTTACTGGCTTTTCCATCATTTTCAGCCACGTCCCCTGGTCTTCATCATAAACCTTTCTGTGGTCGACCTTTTCTGCAGCTACTAAACACAGAGAGCTTTACTCCGCTAAACTGATACTGTCAGTACCAGCCTTGGGTGTTGTAGTGGAACCGGTGGCAGACCAAGTTTCACATCATTTACTACAGTAAGAGTGATAACACTATAAAAGGACTGCATTACACCTCATATGCAACTAATTGTTTTCTTTATCAGTAGGTTCATTATTAATCATTTTGTCAATAAAATGTCAGTGAATAGTGAAAATGCCCGATGTAGTTTCCCAGTGAGGTCTTCAGATGTCTCTTTGCTTTGACCAACAGTCAGAAAACCAAAAAACACTTTGCTGCAACATATGACAAACCACCTGAGTCTCTTGTGAGAAGCTGGAAATGTCTGAAAATGATAAACATTTGTTTATCACAGTAGTTGTTGATTAATTCACATTTTCAGCTTCAGAATATAAATGTAGTGCAGTAACAATTACAGGATTCCCTCAGAACTGTAGTACAATTATAAAAACAAGAAAATAAAAGCAAGTTCCTCAGAATAATACTTGAGTAAACATACTTCACCTTTTTTGTCCAACAGCTTCTCTTGTTCTGTCCTCTACGCACATGGCCAAAAGTTTCTTTATGAAGCTGCTTTGTGGACACAAACTGAACCTGGAACATTAAAATATCGCTTCAGGGCATCTACATACTTTGTCCTTCGTACTTGTACTAAAGCTGTCGTGGCCTTTGACATTAAACAGTCAGTAAAGGTATTACAGGCTGTTTATACTGAGCACATGAGCAGCTTCTGAACACAACTCGTTTTAGCCCAGTGCCACTTTTATGCACTTCTGAAGTTCCTGAACACGTAAGCCAATTTCAACATAATGTTAATATTTGCTGCAGGCATCTGAAGCCATAAGTGTTTAAGTGTGGTCGAACTGAACTGACGGAGCGTGTGAATGTACATGTTGTGTTCCACTGTGTGTTTATGTTGTCACAGTCTGGGTCCAGCAGGTGGAGACATTTACACTTTAACAGCAGTTGATCAGGACTCAGTCACATGTTATTGATCCTCACTGAGGTCGTAGAGTTGCAACACAGCATCTGAACCTTAAAGTCAGTCGGGTCAAAGTTAATTTAAATGTAAAATGGAAGACTTTATTGATCCACAAGTCTAAATGTGTTACAGCAGCACAGGAACAGACAGGCAGAATTAGATCGAGCAAAAGGGGACAAAAAATATAAATCTACTCATTAAACAAATTAAATCTATTCAAGTACAACAATAGTGAGTAAATAAGAAGCTGCAACCCAGTGTTGTACATACATGTGTTTAATGTAAGGACAATGTGCGAGCACGGTGCCGCCTGTCTTCCTGTTTTAACTTGGACATTTTAGATAATAAATATGTTCTTATTCTCAGAAACAGAGCTCAGATAACTAATGGATCAATTGATTAACTGATCAGCAGTAAAAGAGTCTGCAGCTAGTTTGATAATTGTTTTTGTCATTTTTCAAGCAAACGACAAAATCAAAGGCAAAACATGAGACAAAGACATTGCCTTGGAGACATTTTGACATGTCACACACCAACCGATTAATCGACTGATTATGGTTTGGCTCCGATCAGAACCTGAAAAACATAATAATTCAGTGTTACAAACAAGTGTAAATGTTCTTTGTACCTCAAAGTGGCGTCTGCATTTGTCTGAAACATTGTTTGTTCAGTTTGTTGTGATGTGAACCAAACACATCAAATCACAGTTGATTATCAGAAACAGTTTGCAGTTAATTTAGCATCTATGAACAGTTGTCTTATCTTTGTTATAAATTAAAAAGCAGGAAATCTGCACATGTGAGAAGCTGAGTCCATGAATAATGATTTAAGCATTTTTATCATTTAGGTCCATTAACTAACTGTTAAACGGAGCAGCAGCTCTGTTATTTGTACCGTCATAAACCAGCTCAAACAACCCGGACCCATCGCGTGTTTTGCTTTACAACGTGGTTTTTGGTTTAAAACTAGTGGTAGATTTCTTGGTGGACTAGTTGTTGAGCTATGTGTTTGGTGCTGGAGCTGTGAACTGGCTTTGTGTCGAGCGGCCTCACTGAGAACAGGTGGTGTGTTAGCAGCAGGTCCTGAGACGTGTGCACCGGTACAGGAGCTCCGAGCTGGACTCTGACAGCAGGTAACACGCCTGTGCAGACCCTCATGATGGTCAGGTGTTTGGTCCTACTGCTGGAGTCTGGATTACTTCATAGTGCCGGACTCTCAGCCCGTGGAAAACCTGGTTCAATTAGAACCCAAACAGGGGGAAACTCCTGCTGGGTCCCGGAGTCCTGGGTCGACACCGACGTGTTTAAACGGTGAACATGGACCGACTCCAAGGAGCAGCCTTGTATAAAACATGGCTGTTTTTCACTCAGCACACGCACACAGCACCTTGAACTAGACGTGGTTGTTTTTGAGCTTCTGTCCGTCGACTGAAGAATAAGCAGCTGTTGTCAGTGGCAGTGACAGGCAGATAAAGGTCAAGGTCTGTTCGCCTGGGTTCTGTGATGTTCAGCTGAATCTCTGGGTTTAAGTTTGTTTAGGGGGACAAGCGGTACATTTGAAGATGTCGCCTTGGACTCTGGCAAACTGGAGGCATCACTAGGTTCTGACATGATGCAGCCAATCGATAGTGAGGAAATGAGAGAGCGAGGATTTAGCTGCATCTTGACCCGGTTCACAGGCCTGTGTCTAGTTACCTCAGTTATGACATGAACAGTGCAGAGGTCCGCCGTCTCCTGGTAGCGCCACTACGCTCCTAACACTTTCATAGTAGAAGTAATACTGATGAAGTACTTATTTTTCGTAGGGTAACAGCTTCACTATTGGTTATTTGTCCCACTAGCTTGTTTACTGTCAGAAAGCTGAAATATTCCCCAAAGCCAGAGATGATGTGCTGTTTGTTTAAACTGACCAGAGGCTTCATCACATTGTCGCTTTTAAAACTTGAAAAATGACTCTAAGGATGAATTAGTTATGACCTGGTCACTGGAACACATGAACATGAACTGTGTTCCAGTGGTGTGCAGGTGGTTCCTCTCTTTTATTTTTTATTGAGTTACTTGTTTGTTTGACAGTTTCACTGTGTAGGTGTACATCTGATCAGAGAGTCTAAGGCCTGACCCATTTCTCCCCCTTGCCCCTGTCACTCAGCCATACCCCTGCGTTTTGCACGTTCATGTGTAGCGGGAGCCTCCCGACCCTCTTTTGGATGGAGGGGTAGGGCTGAGTGGTCGGGCTGCACAGCCCTTCACACGGACAGTTGCCAGAGGCAGACTACAGACAGAGTGGTACGAGACTAACTACAGCAACAGTTAGCTGTAATTGGCACTACACTCCTCAGACAAATCCACCGCCTGGTGTCAAAAACATTCCCATCCTTCCATTCTATTGTTTGCTGTTGAAAGTCACAGAGTGATGCTTAAAGACCGGGCAAACGGAATCACCACGGCTGAAGACGGGCACTGTGAGATTCAAGGTTTGTGTTAACAACTCATCCCATCTGTTTACTTAAACATCAGCATTAACTGTCGATGATGCAAAGAGGTCTTGAAGGGTCATCCCAGTTCACAGGGGAGAGTTCACCCACTGTAACTCTGTTTTGAGGGTTAACTCCAAAACGAGGGGTAGGGGGAAAACAGGAAATGGGGTTGGGCCTAACACTCCAGTCAAAGTTGTTCAGTGTTGGTTTCATTTGTGTCAAGAAAACTCTGTTCTGCAAAGCGGAGTCTTTCACTGAGAAAGATCAAAAGTGGTCAGAACCTGTGCCGTTCTGCCTGCTGCTCTCGACTCCTTCCCTGTTACACTGTTGGAACACGTTGCGTCGTCTGCTGCCTGTGAGGTGCCGTGATATTTCCTGCTGGGAATGCCGCTGTTGAGTCTTGTGTCGGCTCCTCGTCAGAGTTGGGACTTGGTTCAGACCACATGAGACTCCAGTTCCGCCTGCTGACTCGCTTCTCGTCTTGTCCAGTTTCTCTCCAACAGACAACAAGTTTGCCACCTGCTCCGATGATGGCACGGTCCGGATCTGGGACTTCCTGCGCTGCCACGAGGAGAGGATCCTCCGAGGTACACATCTTGTTTCTCACACTGACGACTTTGTTTCCAGACTTTTGAAATGTAATGGAAGAAAAAATAGAAGAGTAGAGCAAGCTGTGCAAAGGACAGACATAAGGTTTGGCTGTGTGACGTTAACTTAGCCAGGAGCTGAGTAATCACCAACAATGTAGAGTTTGCAGCACAAACACACATCCTGTATCTTTGTTACAAACATGGTCAGTGTCCAGGTATATGACAGTTGTTTCTCCATGAATTCTGTTTATGGAATAATAATGCATTGTTTTGTCCAACAAACAATGAAAAACCTAAAGAGATTCAGTTAGTAATAATAGAAACAACTGTGCTGAGACATACAGCCATGTGACAGGAAATAAGAAGGAAGAGCCAGTAGAAGATAATGGGAATCACTGTCATATATGTTACTGGTTATGTGAATGTGTGCACAGGTCATGGCGCTGATGTGAAGTGTGTCGACTGGCATCCCACTAAAGGCCTGGTGGTCTCTGGCAGTAAGGACAGCCAGCAGCCAATCAAGTTCTGGGACCCAAAGACCGGACAGAGTCTGGCTACACTGTGAGTCCATCAGGAAACTAAAGCCACTCAGAGATGCACCAGAAACCGGCCAACTACACTGCTAACTAACTCCACGCAGTGTGAACAAATCACTGTGTCCTTAAAGGACACAGCCGAGCCGAGTTTGTCTGTGTTTGTTATTCCCCACCAACCCCATCCAGAGACCAGCACCACCAGTGAACGTGGTGTCCTCACTGTAATGTGTGTGAGTCCAGACCCTGGCCCAGCTTATCACTCTGTGCCATAAACCTCCACTGTTGTCCACCAGCTATTAATCCCCCCCAGTGAGCCACACTGCTGCACTGCGGGGGGGTTCCTCCTCAGGAAACATGGGAGGCTGTCTGTTTCCAACACACAGCTCCAGCACGTTGCCCTGTGCAGCGTGAAGAGCTGGTGTAGTGTTACCAAGGCAGAGACCAGTGTCTTCCTTTCTGATGTAAATTATTTATACAAGTTTTAGCCATCCTGTTGGTCCCTGTGACTCCACACACAGATGTTATTGTTTCTTTTTTGTTGTAGCCATCCTGTTGGTCCCTGTGACTCCGCACACGGTTGTTATTGTTTCTTTTTTGTTACTGCATGTGTGAAATTAAGGTTAAAACAATAAACCCAGTCCGACCCTCTCTGTCTCCTCAGTCACGCTCACAAGAACACAGTGATGGAGGTGAAGTGGAACCTGAATGGTAACTGGCTGCTGACAGCTTCACGTGACCACCTGTGCAAACTGTTTGACATCAGAAACCTGAAGGAGGAGCTGCAGGTGTTCAGAGGACACAAGAAGGAGGCCACAGGTGAGTCTGAGCAGAGCTACCTGTCCACAGGTGGCTCAGAGATCTGGATTCACCTGGAGGCACTGAATGCATGTCAACAGTCCTTGAAAGGTCCTGGAGAACAAACTGGCCATAAGTTTGCTGATATAAAATTTAGCTGGAGTTGCTTTGAGAAGATGTTTCTGTCATTTGGCATCTTTTACTTCACTTTGATACTTGAGAGAATTTTTTTTTTTTACATAAACATAATCACACAACATTTTGGACTCGAATGTGTGTCTAAAAGTGGCCGAGACATGAAATTATCACTGCATTTCATTCACTTAAATCCTGATTTCTACTAAAAAAAAATGGAATTGTCTTTTCATGGTCAGAACTTAGACATTTTGACAATTGTATTGTTTGGCTTCTAATTTCCAACCTGAAGACGAAAAATGTCAGGAGAACACTGGTTTTATCTGTCAGTGAGGCAGATTTTTACATTTTCAACCAAACGTCTTTACATGTTGTTGTTAACCAGGGTGAAGCCCCACTGAGGTTAACAGCCTCTTTTTCAGGGGAGCCCTGGTGAGATGGAGGCACCACAAATTCCACACAATAAAACACACACGATACTAAACCTGACAACAGCGTATAGAATCTGCAGTAAACCACACAGACAGTGCAGTTGACAGTATCGGTTCGGTTACTGATCCCAAGCTGGTTAATGTAATGTCCCTCTGCAAACTGTTCCAAGTGTCTGGAGCAGAGAACGCAGAGCTTTCTTTGCATCTCTGTCTGAAATGCAGAAACATGACAATGAAGCTTCATTTTCTCACACATTGTGTGCACCATAGCCTGAGCAGTACTGGACGTTCATACAGGAACAGCATCCAGCTGGAGGATATTCTGCTGCGGTGCTAGTTCAGACACATAACCAGCTAATGAAAGGGTTAACAAGCCTGGATTTCTGACTTAGAAATCAGCTGCTGTGGAGGTTTGCTGCTGACTTAGAAATCAGCTGCTGTGGAGGTGGAGGTTTGCTGTAGACATGTAGTGTCTGTTTACTGCTGCTCTCGTTTTTCGTCAATTCTGTTAAATGAGACTTAAAACTAAACCGACGCTGCAACATGGTGGAACATCGTCCTAGGACATGTGAGATAGACCAGACAAATGATGGTGATGCTGGTGCTGTCTTGTGGATCTAAACTGCTGCTCTGTTTCTGTCTTGTTTCTTACTGGTTCTGTCCCCAGCGGTGGCGTGGCATCCCGTTCACGAAGGCCTGTTCGCCAGTGGAGGTTCTGATGGCTCGCTGCTCTTCTGGCACACCGGGTAATAACGCCAAACCCGAGCACAGTCACTAAGACCTGATGTTGCTATGCTCAGAGACAAACCGTCACCACGCTGCTATCTGTAGGACTTTCTCTGAGTCCACTAGTTTCTTACTTGTTTACCTGGGTCACATGTTTCTCTTACTGTGGTTTGTGTCAGGGTGGAGAAGGAGGTTGGAGGGATGGAGATGGCTCATGAGGGGATGATCTGGAGTCTGGCCTGGCACCCGCTGGGACACATCCTGTGCTCGGGCTCCAACGACCACACCAGGTACAAACACAACATATATATACAGCAGTTGTGTAACGCATATACACAGTATATGTATATAATATACACAAAATACTGAAACACTAGGCATTTATACAACAAACATGGACCAGATACATATATTTACAAATAACTGAATTTTATACGGACACACGCCATCATAAATACAGTATACACTCGATACATTTACATTGTGTATACATGGACAGTTCAGCACGAACATTAGGTTTTATCACCGTACAGGAGAAGATGTCAGTGTCGCAGCTGTGTGTAACACATTGAACAAAACACTGAAAACACATCACATGGACCGAGCGTTCCCCAACGCCTCATGCGCCGCAGAAACAAACGAGTCAGACTCTTGATGGTTGACACTTTATTTAAAATCTTCGGCCCTGGTTTAATTTCTCAGTAAATTCTGGACGAGGAATCGACCCGGTGATAAGATGAGAGACCGGTACAACCTGAACCTGCTGCCGGGGTTGTCGGAGGACGGCGTGGAGTACGGTGAGCCACAAAAACAAAAACACGCAGTTGCCTGTGACTTTGTTTATTCGCAGCTGATCATTGCGACTGTGTTTCAGATGACGTGGAACCGAACAGCATGGCCGCCATCCCTGGTATGGGGATCCCCGAGCAGCTGAAGGCCGCCATGGAGCAAGAGCAGAGCAGTAAGTCTCATCCTGGAAAGTTCTGGAACTCACACAGGGGCAGTCTGCAGATTTCCAGACTTCAGTGGGAGAAACTGGAAAGATTTTCCATAGTTTTTCACAGGTTTGTAGAGTTTTCTGGTTGGTTTCACCCAGCCCAGTCAAAACAGTAGGGAGAACCATCAGGAGCAAATTGAGGAGGACACCGACAGACAGACACCAAATTCATGGTCCTGGGAAGTTATACGTCCTGGAGATTTTATATCAGGGCCCTCTATAGTCACATTTTCATATTTGGAGACAAGACCATGTAAAAAGCAAATAAGCATAGTTGGCAGACAACATTTAAGTTTTTACACTTGGATTCTTTGCAGGTTTTTGCTGATTTGTGTTTCTGTGGTTCTCATGTTTGTTTTTGTGAGTTTACATTTTAACTTAGTTCAGACTAAAGGCAGATGAGCAGTACACGGACGCTGGCTTGTCTTTAACAGTTTATTAGCTTTATTTGACTGTTTCTGGTGATTTTGATATGATATTTATTTAGATTATATTTTGTGTTGGTAACAGATCCTTTAAAGGTTTTAGTGTCTTTAATCCTATGTTTATAAGTTTCCGTAGAGTTTAGAGCCATTTACTGAAGAAAATCTAAATTTCAAACATAAACAATATTTTGAGAAAAACTGTTTCATTAGAATAAGGTTGATATTTGGGGGCAAAATTATTTTAAGAATTTAGAATTTTACAAAAAATGATTTTGCTTTCTGGGTTCAAATTATTTTGCTGACCCGGGTGTCTCTCAAGGATCAGTATTAGTCCCCTGATATTTACTCTTCATAATTAATTATTCATGAGCTCAGAACTGCAGTGTCTGTTTTATGCAGATGACACTTTATAACATCTCCCAATGCAAACACACTTGAACCTGTTGACTGAAACCTTCCTGCATCATTTGTTTGATTATCACCACAAATGTAAACCTACAGAGTGCCAGGTATGACTCAGGTGTGCCTGTTGTCTCTAGGTAAAGAGGCGGCTCCTGATGTGGAGATGTCCATCCCTGGTCTGGACTGGGGCATGGATGAGGTCATGGGTAAAGACGCCAAGAAGGTCCCTCAGAAGAAAGTGCCGTATGCCAAACCGATCCCAGCACAGTTCCAACAGGTAAAACCATCCTCGCCAAGCAGTGTTAACAAAAACTGTGACCAAAAATATTCATTGATGACCTATTTTTCAGGATGAAAATGAAACTAAATAAAAAGCAACATTTGATAACAAGAACTATGATGAAATGGTTTATAGTTTTTCATCAATGAATAAAAGAAATAAACAATAATGTGAAAGACAGACGAATGTACCTGAAGTAACAACGACCCGCCACATCTGTGGAGTCACAAACTGTAGTGAAACCGTTTCCTTCTCCGGCCATAATCTCTTTGGTTCAGGAGTTGAATTAGCCGCTGCATGTGTTTCTCTGCTGTCTTACATTCAGTAGCCTTCTGTCTCCAGCGTTAAAGCTTCCTGGAAGAAACAGGTTCATGAATCATATTCATTTTTAACTGTATTACACAGGTGGGCTTTTTTTTTCCTTCACAGACAACTTATTGTACCAACACACAAATGAAAGGGTTATAATGAATGAAAGTACAGTAAAAATAATAATAATAAAATGACATAAAATCACCTTGTAGAGTCCAGAAGAGTTCAGCTTCCTCAGTAGATGTTTTCACTGATGACCTTTCTTGACAGTACTATCAGTGTTCAGATCTAAGCTCAGAGTCGAACACTGTACCCAGGTATTGATAAGTTTGTAAAATTTGTACATCTTCACCATGTATGGTACTAGTTGTCGGTTTGATACCGCCCTTCCTGAAATCTATAATAAGTTCCTTTGTTTCAGTCACATTTAAATCAAGGCAATTGTCGTCACACCATTTAACAAGTTCAGGGAGAGCACAGCCATGGTCAGATTGGTGGCCCCGAGGAAGGGAGGTCTGCTGAAGTCAGTCTGTTAAAAGGTTTAATATAACAGTAAAGTCAGATCAGGTAACCTAAAATTAGAAGCCAATCTCAGTTAAGATGTGTGGCTGCATCTTGTTAAAAGCACAACTAAAGCCTCACGTGTGATTCTGGTTGTTCCCAATGTCTGTACACTCTGTCCAGGGTGAAGATATTCATCCTGGACAGATATCAAGTTATTCATCTACAGTCCAGGCAATTGCGCACACAAACCGCTGGGACGTGCTAGGAAAACGCAGCATCGCGGCACATGGAGTGGCAGGATAGTGTACCATGAACCACTGTCGATGGAGATGTAATGATAATGCTCCTTCCCAGTCGGAGATCTGTTGTGTTGCTGCGTGTCAGTTCCAGGATTAATGTGGACAGTCGCCCATAAGTCATCTCTAAATGCAGAGAGTCACTGTTTTAAAGTTATCTGATGATTTATCGTCGCCTCTGAACCCAGTGAAGAGGATTTTAGTCAAAGTGTGAGGACTTCTGCAGAGCAGAGCGACACTGTGGGAATGAAACACTGTTTGCCACAAACTTCACAATAGATGGGAACAACACGTGTAACCATGGTAACCGTACACAACTGGAACAAAGAAGATGTAGCCACAGTAAATATTAAAGATACAGTTTAAAAATGACAAACTAGACTGAGGTGAATTTAGTTTTTGACTAAAATTTGACTAAAACTAATATGCATTTTGTCAAAAGACTAAGACAAAAGCAAAATCAAATTGAGGTGCCAGAATTAACACTGTCCCTGAGCCCTGATGTACACCCAAATGTTACCAAACCACAAAGCTGCTGGTGAACATAATCGATGTCCTACACATCCTCAGCTCTGCTAGTTGTAACGAATCAGTGCTGCAGAAACAGTACAAGCTGTGTTGTTGACTGTGGACTCCTTCACCTCTGCAGGCTTGGGCAGAGAATAAAGTTCCCATGATGCCGCCCTCCGCAGATCTGTCCAAAGACAGGAAGGTGGAGCAGAAGGTGGAATTGAAGAAGAAAACTCAGGCGGAGATCGAGCAGGAGATGGCGGCTCTGCAGTACACCAACCCCATGCTCTTGGAGGTGAGAGGCTGCTGTGGCCACTCGGGCTCACTAGTTAAGTTCGACACATATTCTCAGTTGTCAAGTTTGTAAATTATTTATGATTTTACATTTTTGGTCTTTTGTATTTTACTCTTGGTAACTTTTAATGTCTCTGTCTTGCCTGAAGTGCTCCTCTGCACTGTCCAAACTTCAAATTGAAAATGTGGAGTAAAACTTTTAATGTCTCCAGAGGGGCAGTTTGGCCTGCAGACAGCAGTTGATAATTAGAATACCCCCCCCCCCCCTGCAACCTTCAGTTAAAATGTAGATCCAGCCTCCACCAACGGGAAACTCTCATCTAAACACATTGGTTTTTTTGGTTCTTGTGCAGCAAATGAAGATGGACCGAATGAACCAGATCAACACAGACGGCAACATGGGCCCCCCACAGGGTCAGGGCCCCATGCCCCCCTTCCCTGGCCCTGGTGGCCCCATGCCTCCTGGCCAGCAGGGCTTTCCTCCAAACATGCCTCCTCAGCAAATGCCCAACAATATGGGCCCCCCCATGGGCCCTGGAGGCATGCAACCTCCTTTCATGCCCCAAGGACAAATGGGACCGCCCACAGGACCCCAGCCTCACCAAGGGCCCCCTCAGGGCATGATGGGACCACCAGACATGCAAGGACCTCAAGGTATGCAGAGACATCCTGGCCCGCCAAGAAACATGGGCCCCCAAGGGCCTCATGGTATGGGACCCAGAGGGATGCAGGGTCCCCCTGGAGGGATGATGGGCCCCCCTCCTCGAGGAATTGGTCCAAGGGATCCTCAGGGGCCTCCATCTCAAGGGAACATGATGGGCCCCCAGGGTCCTATGCAGGGTGGTATGATGGGACCCCCACCCAGGACACATGGCAATATGCCAAATAACTATGGGATGGGCAACATGCAGGGGCCCCCAGGAGGGATGCATGGGCCTCCAGGAAATATGCAGGAGCCCCCAGGTAACATGCAGGGACCCCATGGAAATATGCAGGGCCCCCCAGGTAACATGCAGGGACCCCATGGAAACATGCAAGGACCCCATGGAAACATGCAGGGGCCTCCGTATATGCAGCACCAGGTGAGTCTGTGAGCAAAGACAGAGAACTCATCTGTAAAATATTTGAGGGATGTCTGACTCTTTGACATCAATGTCTCCAGGTCTGGTTTTTAAAGCACTGCATGAATGACTCCTAACTATGGTTTGGTCTCTGCAGGGCCAGAGCTCAGGGTCTATGATGCATGGCATGGGGCAGCAGGGGCCCAGCAACAAAGGTAAGAAAATGAATTTGTAGCTGAGTCTTATTTATAAGCAGAGGTTAAATCAGCCTCTGCTGATCCAGGCTCATGTGGTGTATGTCAGAGATGTGTTTTAGTCCTCTCCTGTTTCCCCTGTGTTTCTTATCATGGTTAAAACAAAAATGACAGTGGATCCAGCTGATCCTCTGACTTTTCTAATAGTGCCACCCTGAGGTTCACATTTGTGCTTTGGACTGCGATGAAATGTGGTTCAGACTTTCATGTTCCGCTCAGGATGAATTGTAATAGCTTTGGAGACTTATTTTAGTGGCATCACCAGGTCAGAGTTCTAATTCAGGTTTCTAGTGAACATGGGAAACTGTCTGGTCCCTTTAGTTTTGAACCTTTGTGTGTCTGTGCCAGCAGTGGCAGAACACAAGTTATAGTACAGTAACGTGCTAAATGAGGCAATTGCTGTAAGACAGTTTGTTCTGAATTACTGTCTGAAGTTTCTGATTTAAAGAACAAATAAAGATCTTGGATCTGTCCGGATGCTTGAACTTTCAGTACTAAACTATTTCTTTCTATCTAAGGAGACCCTCGGGGGCCCCCACCCAACCACCACATGGGACCTCCTGACCGGCAGGGTCCTGGAGGACCTGACCAGGCTTCTGGGCCTTACTGGGGGGACAACCAGCAGGGTCGACATGGACCACAGGACTTTGATGGAGGACAGGACTTCCACGGCAGAGGAGAGGAGGGCTGGAGACCAGGACCTGGACCAGGATATCAGGGAGGAGGAGGAGGGGGGAGACACAGGGGTGGAGGACACAGAGGAGCAGGAGGGAACGGGGGAAACTGGGGCCCTGAGGAGAGGTTCAGTGGAGGAGAGTTCAGAGGACGCAGAGACGACAGGTGAGATGCTGAAACTTGTGACGAGGACTAGTAGAGGCTGGGTGCTGAACCTGGTGACCTGGGTCTGGGTTTGTTAAGGGTCTCGGAGGCGTGGACAGGCAGAATAGTGCTGATGTAGCTGTTTCAATGCCCTTTGTTATCAGTCTGAAACTGGGGGAATGAATCCACAGGCTTCACTTGTATCTGCAGACAACTGCACAAATAAAGGCACAGCTGCTTCTCATTTACCAGTGCACCACAGACTGTAACAAGTGTGTAAAGATACTCCAAGTAGAAATACTGCATTCAAAATGTTACTGTAAAGCTTCATTTGCAGCTCAGTGGCCAATGGAGAGGAATCAGTAGTTTGACACACAGTGCACTGGGGTAAGAGGCCTAGACTCTGAGGTTTAACCAGGCCTGAACTGGACTCTGGTTTCAGGTTCAGAGGAGGAGGCCCTGGCCGGCCCGGAGGTCGAGGTTACATTGACGAGTATGGTGGTCAGGAGGAGGGCTTCGACAGCCCGGAGGAGATAGGCCGAGGCTGGGAAGGAGGAGGGCGAGGGAGGCCGCCTCGAGGAGGGGGTCCGCCCAGAGGAGGAGGTGAGGGGTGCTGACACACTTGAGTCTGCACCAGTCTTTATTTAAGCAGTAAAACAAACCAGTTTAACCTCTGAGTCACTTTTACTTTAGTTTGTATTTAAGATCAGATTATCCAAGCTTGACTAGAACACAGGTGAAAATTAAAGGAAGGTCTGTACAAATAAACAGTTGTAGTTGGAGTCTGGCTGCTGCTTCTGTCAGGTGAGACCTTACTGAGAGAAAGAAATAATAAACAATGTGTCTGATTCCTTTCACCTTCCTGGAAAACATCGTTACTGATCATTTCATTTCAGATGTCAGGAGGAGACAGATTAAATTCTCCCACCACAAACCACAGCACTGGATTTTTCAGACTCTTATTGTGGCAGTTCTGTTCTGGTCTTCCTGTCTGCAGGTCATGAAGGATATCGGGACGGACAGCAGATGCATGATGGGTCATCTCCAGCCGGTCGCGAGCGCTCATCGTCCCTGCAAGGGATGGACATGGCATCTCTCCCGCCCCGGAAGCGACCGTGGCAGGATGGCCCGGGAACTGGAGACCCCCGAGAGCGCGAGTCTCCCGGAACCGATGGAGGTGAAACAGTCAGGACGAGTTTTTAATAAAATGTCATCGAAACTCGGCAGCAAATTGTTTTTACTGTTACACAGGAAATATTTAAATCATCAGGAATCATGTATTGAACATTAGACTGAGTCTAAAGTTTAGATATTATAAACTTATATTTTATACAAATTAAAATCACTTTTTTCTATTTTATTAAAGTTTATTGAACTACATGTTCATAAGATTGTAAGAAAAAACATTTATAAAAAATATTATGCAAGTTGTACATTTGACATTTATTAACTACATTATATTTAGTGTTGACTAGTAATTTGTCTTATTTTTGACATATTTTCCTCAAATCATGTGACTGTTTTACATTTCAACATTTGGAAACACATATACTTTATAATCTTACACATAATAATCTATGTATCATAAGCATGTAACTGTGACACTGTGTGTATATATAATATTTAATACCATCACCTGATCTATTTAGTATATTGAGAATTTGTATGTAAACAAATCAAGACTTCAACAGAATAATTTAAAAATATGAAAATGAGTGAAACACACCTCAGACAGTTCACATTATAAATACATTTAATTTAGTAATATCCATATTTGTGTTTTCATATATAACATATATTTAGAATCCCCTGTTAATAATAGATACACATTTCATTTGTCAATGTAAAAACACATTTTAGTACTCTATACTGAACAATGTTGATTTCCATATTATAAACATGGCTATGATTGATCTTAACACCTATGTCGATGGTTTGGAAGATAAATCCAAACCCTGACACTGAGTCCTGCTCTCAAATTCAGATTAGATTTGGTCGGTTCTGGTGCAGGACTCTGCCCTGACACTCAGCTTTTGTGACACTCTTATTTTGGCAGGTGCATAAATAGGAAGTTGTGCACAGAAACATGTAGTTTGGGGTAACGATGCGAACGAAGCAGACCTCGGACCAGGTCCCTGACAGTGGGGCTCCTGATTTGTAAAAGCCTCTGAACACAAACATCTGAGACCATCTATGTCTCTGTGTGCAGGTCGCCCCCCTCAGAGGGAGGACGGGGGCTACGGTCCCTCTGGTCGAGGTGGACGAGGTGGCTGGGGTCCTGGAGGAGGACCTGGACCTGGATTAGGGCCCTGGAGAGGAGGACCAGGACCCAGAGGAGCACCAAGGGGGATAGGCCGGGGGCGGTAGTTCTGAAGAACCAAACCGCCATAAATTTTTCCTGCTCTGGTTGTCTCCCTGCTGGTCCATGTGCAGAGCTGTGACCAAGTCCAGGACCTGATAAACCAGATCCTGAAAGGTCTTCTGACAAACTTTTGGTCATGTGACACATTCAGATCTGCTGATTGGCCTGTACTGACTGGGACACCTGAGGGGACAGGTAGAGTCTGAATGGTGAAGTGCATCTGAAGCACAGGAACCTTTTACCGAGAATCATCACGCTGTCTTTTATTTCACATCACGTCTGTTTTTGTAAAAGATTTCTATGTTTGTGTTTTCACGACTCCACCGAGGTGGACAATAAAGATACACGCTTCTAACTCCAGCAGCACAGCTGTCACACGTTTGTCACTTAGTGGAAAGAACGACAACGCGTGGGCAAAAAACGCCGCAGGGCCGATGGGCATGTCTACATAAGTTTCGGGATCCTGTACTTTGTGTCTGATTCCATGTGGTTTGGGCCCACAACTTCTGTGACATGATGCTGAAACCACTTAGGTAACACCAGCCTTTGTAGGCTGGTTCAGAATGATGGGAGTGTGTTGTCACTGTCCCAGACTGTGCATGTGATTAGAAATAGTTGCTTAGGACACTTGAAGTCATTTGATTCAAATCAGTTCATATGTAGCCCAGAGACTTTCAGTCGGTCCACAGTGGCGTGTCTCTGTGTAGTCAGAAATACAAACAAACCTGCAGAGGTTTTCAGTGATTAATCTGTTCTCTGGCTTTGTTTTTCCACCTTTTCACATTTCTCCAGAGGCCTGTACCACGAAGCCAGATTAGCGGCTTATCAAGCTAACTTTGGGCTCAGCTCACGTTTGCCAGTACCACGAAGCAGGCTCAGTTAATCAGGGTGGTTCACCATGGTAACTGATGCTGCATGGCTGACTCACTCCAGAGCAGGTTAACTTCAGAGGATCAGGTCAGAACCTGTGAACAGCCTGAGCACTGAGCAGTCAGCTCACAGGAAACCAAGGGATCATTCTTCCTGCTGGATCCTGAGTACAATAAATATATTTCTATAGTACTGTGCTGTTATTCATCATCAGACAAAGGAGAAAAATATACTGACTGAATAAGACCCTTATAATGATACTAGTGTCACTGCTTCATCTCATGTTATATTCAGTACTTCATTCATGATTCTGTCAGTGAACAACTTGGCCTCTTTCACATGAATGTGCTCTTAGCCTGGCAGATATTGGTTGTCCAGGATGGCCAACGTTAGACTCAGTGAAGCCAGATAACCCCAGGTAGTCCAACTAAGTTGAATTCGCTTCATGGTACAGACCTCAGATCAGCAGATGCTTCTAAACTTTACACGGCATCATCTCTTGGTACATTGCGATGTCCCGGATCACTTGTTTCCCTGTTATTCAATCCAAAACTTGTACATCGGTGTGTGAATGGGTGATTGATGTATTATCTCCTGTAAAGCGCTTTGGCCAGTGCACCAGACTATGGAAAAATGTGCTATATAAATACAGTCCATTTACATTTAACTGGCTGGTTTTCCTTTCATCAGTGGACTGAGCACCAGCAGGTCAGAGGTCACAGGAGAAGCAGCTGCAGCTTGATCACAGCTGACGAACCAGTTCAGAGAAAACAAGAAGCCAAACATGTTTGTTTTTTTTATTTCCTACATTGAACAATTTGTTTACTCTCAGACCTGAATCACCACAAACATGTTAATGATCCATTATACATCAGAAAAACAGTCCCAGTTCCCAGGGTCACAGTTTGTTTGGTCCTCAGTGAGCAGATAGTCTAACCTGCAGGCCACAGGACAGGGTTTAGTTTCGTCAGCAGCTTCAGTTTGTGTCAGATCCCCAACCAGCGAACATGGGAAGTACACAACTTGAGACTAATCAGCTGACAGCCAGTAGTCAATAATCAGTGTCTGCAGGTAAACATAGTGACAGTCATTAAGGTTGGTCCTTTGTCATCTGGGGCCCCTCGCACCCTAGTTTGGAGATAAAGAGTTTTAAAATGTGTGACCTGCCTAGTGAGATCTAGGCAGTCCCCGACCCTCAGTCCCCGGTCAGATCGGCATGGTTTTCCCGGTCAGCGTCCTTTTGACGGGAGACCCCGCCATGCCCCCCATGAAGCGGATCCCAGCGCTGCCCCCGGGCAGCAGCGACACCACGTACCCGACGATGACGGCGACCTGCAGGGCGGCTCCCAGTGCGGTCAGCACGGTGCTGTGGAGGCTCAGCGCCGCGTACAGAGTCCCGCCGAGGGCGCACAGGTACACCGCGGCCCCAGGGGAGGTAGGCAGGCCCACGATCAGTCTGCTGGGGCCACGTAGCATTGCCGCTGCCGCGATGGCGAACAAGGACCCGAGCGACCAGAGCAGCGCGAACTTGCGGGCGTAGAGCAGTAGCAGCGGCGCGTACAACGCCGAGAGCCCAAAGCACAGCGCGGAAAACGACACACACACGCTGAATGCCAACAGCCGCTGCCCCCGGCTCCAACCAAGGATCAGGCTCGGCCGACCACGGCCAGGAAAATCCACTGTTTCCGCTTGAGCCCTGGCTGGACGGACTGCCGCCGCGGCTCCTGGACCATGGGCTGGACCACCGGCCAAACCAGCTTCCGGGTACCGGCTCCGGGTCGTCCAGGTTCACCGTAGTGCTGGAGCTGGACTGGGAGATGGTTTTGGCGCCGCCACCTTTGGACTGGGCCAAATATTCCTGAAGCTGTCGATTCAGTTCTGCCATGACGGAAGAAGCTAACTGCTAACAGTTAGCAAGACTTCTTCTCTGATTCTCCTGCTGCTGCACTTCCGGTAGCTTTGCAGAAGGATTTGCTGGTCCACCACATTAACAAAACGTTTTTATTAAGATTTATCGCTATTAACAAAAACGGTTTCAGTATTGTATAGCTGTTATTCCGATGTCACAAACAGGGAAAAGTGAGACGTGACAAGAAGATAGAAGCTGTAAAATTGAACAACACAAACAAAATCAAGAAAATAAGAGGAATGAGCGGAGCAGTACAGCATGGCCAGTAAGGCGGGGCTCGACAGGTGCGATGTCTCAGTCGGCGGTTGTGGTGTTTGCCGTCATCACTTTTTCTGGTCTTATTTTTGGTCAAAGTCACATGGCTGCTGTGCGAGTTTTCAGCTGTCGGACTAAAATTAACCCTTAGGGCGACTGGCTGGATGACTGACACACAGGGCCATCTACGGTATCATCGGTGTGTGTTTCATCCACAGCTGAGACAGGAAGAAACAAGCGGTGCTGCAGCGGAGGAAACGAGCCACGGCAGGTAACACACATTAAACACCCACAACATATTTGAACACACACTTGAGGAGGAGAGCCGCTGCTGCTCTCTTAACGCCTGTTATCGGTGTGTGAAACATCATCACATTGTTCACCTCCGGAGCTCTACGTTTCTGATGAGCAGCCACAGGCCACATCAACCTGCCAAGTGTGTGATTGTTTGTTGTTGTGTTTGTTGTGTCTTGTTGCTTTTCTGTTCTTCTCCCTCTCCTCTGTCCACTCACCCCAACCGGTCGAGGCAGAAGGCCGCCCACCAAGGTCCAGGGTCTGTCTGAAGCTTCTCCCGTTAAAGGGTGTTTTACCTCGCCGCTGTTGCCAAATGCTGCTCAGGAGGATTTGTTGGGCTTTTATGCAAAGTGCCCTGAGAGCGTTGTTGTTGTGAATTGGCGCGTACAAACAAATTGAATTGTAACAAAAATGAAAAATGGAGACCTCATCTGCAATTTAAATTTCCTAGACTTGTTCTCATAATTACAGGATGTTTTTATTAAGCACTAGAGAGGTATTATTAGTTTTCATGTCCACCATTCAACAATAGAACTTTGTACAGCTGTGGTGGAGGAAGTACTCGGGGCCTGTAACCTGGTAAAAGTACCAGTACAATAATGTAAACATACAAGATTACACGATAAAGTTTAGCAGTATTCTCAACTCTGTTTTGTTAAAGTGTCACACAGTTATAGTATCACAAAAGTACTGGTAGTACTGTGACTGATCAGGTTATTGATCAGGAGTGATCAAAGCTTCAGCAGAAATTGGAGTTGGAGCTTCTGGAGCTGACGTTAATGTCATTCACAGTTAGTTTAGTACAGTGGTTTCCAACCTAAGGGTCGGGGCCCTCCAGAGGGCCACCAGATAAATCTGAGGGACTGTCACAAGATTCATGGAGAGGACAAAAGAAGAAAGACAGTTCTGATTCATTGTTTTCAGTTTGTGCATTTGAGTTTTGCCTCTAATATTTGTGCTAAGATAAACATGTGGCTCCAACTCTGGACACAGAGATGAAGCTAAAATCTATATGAAACATCTGAATGTGGAGAAGAGGGAGAACAAGGTCTTTGGCAGCTAAATGAATGTGCAACTGTCTGAGAATTGATGGTTTTAGCGGCTTTCTTATTTTTCTCTAATGTAAAGTAAAAACTGTGAACTGTTGTTTGTACATAGTAAATAAAATGAAAATCTCACTTTGGATTCTGGTACAAACGGCAATGTTCTTTAACTGATGTTTAATCGGTCATTCAGGAAACTAACTGGCAGATCAGTCACTCATGAAAACGACTCTTTCAGCTTCGAGTGCTGAGCTGCTCAGTCCTCACTAGTATATTTAACACCTCGTGTTCCCTGACAGGTCACCATGATGCTCTCTCAGATCACCCCCACCCTGTTCCTCAGCGGAGCTGATGCCCCCCTCAACGCAGCGCTGGTGTCACAGAAAGGCATCACCCTCATCGTCAACGCCACGCTTAGCCATGCCAGCCCCACCTACCCGGGGGTGGAGTGTGTTCGGGTTCCTGTCTCCGACCTGCCCAGTGCCCGCCTTGGGGACCACTTCGACCGGGTGGCTGAGCGTATCCATGGCAACCGAGCGGGCGGCACACTGGTGCACTGTGCCGCCGGGATGAGCCGCTCGCCGGCGCTGGTGATGGCGTACCTGATGCGGTACAGAGGAGTGACTCTCCGCCAGGCACACCATTGGGTGCAGGAGAGCCGGCCCTACGTCAGGCTGAACATTGGCTTCTGGGACCAGCTGCTGCAGTATGAGAGGAGGCTGTACGGCAAAAACACCGTCAGAGTGGCACCAGTCGAGGAGACGCCACCTCCACCACCACCACCACCAAGGAGACACAGGTTGACGAGGTTGGTGCCGTCACTGCAGCAGCATGTGAGCCATTTAACACTGATACCCAGATCGCCTGTGATGTCACGATCTCAAGGGACAGTGATGTCACGATCTCAAGGGACAGCCTATGATGTCACGATCTCAAGGGACAGCTCGATCGCCTATGATGTCACGATCTCGGATGATGATAGCGGAAAATGAGCTGAGAAGAGGAACCAGATCCAGCAACATCAAGTTCTGAGCACCGCTGTACATAAACATTCGACGACAGATCTGAAAAGAGGAACACAGCGTGATGTAATGTGTAAAGTTAGTTTTGAAATGTGGAGCTTCTTCTGTTCTGATTTTCCTGAAGGCCTGAGTCGGGCTCAGACACAGGAGCTGGTGTGTCACCTGCAGCGTGCAGTGTTTCTCTGCTGGCTTCAGGTGACGCACCTCCTGTCTCCCCGCTGCCTCACTGACCTCTACAGCAGCTCTGACTTTGTAGTCTTGAATCCAGCTGATGTAGAAAACCTCTCCCTTGTTCAGTATTTCCTGGAAGACTTTGACGGTTTTGACAAACGTTTCATCTGTGCACAGCTGACCAATCACTGAGGGAGGTGGCTCTGATGTCACAGACTCAAAGTTAATCTGACATCAGAGCGTTGTGAGGGCGGGGCAGACCACCTACCAATCACAGCTGGTTATTTTTCTTCCTCTGGTGTTTTCTGTCAGTTTACTGCCACCTGGTGGATTGAACATGTCTATCTTGATGTTAGTTTTCCTTTTCCTTATTGTTTTTATGTTATTCCACACACATCCTCATGGTGAATCCAGAACAATGAAAATGGCATCTCTCTCAGGTCTTGTACTTTAGGCAGATAACCCACCAATAAACAAAATGGTAAGTGAGCATTTGTGTTTCCTTGGTATCTAATAGTCTTTATTTTACTGATTGTTAATGTTTGAATCTGTCATAAGAGACACTTTTCGAACCTGGGACCATGAAGAGAAAGAGAAGAGGCAATTAAAAAGCCCTCTCAAGTTTCTACAATATGAAAAGAATGTTATTGATTGAGAATTTTAAAACAAAAGAAGGCAAGAACCCTCTTATTTATGATGCAAATTGAAGAGACCATGAAGGCAGCGTGCGCAACAATCCAACCGCTGGGTTGCTTCGGCAAGTCGGTTACCATGGTTACCGTTAGCTGACGGTTCCTTCCCCGGGAAGGAATCTGGCAGAGAGGGCGTAGAAGAGGAGCGGGATGGAGGGTGAGGACCAGCGGCTTGGTCCAGTCCAGGGTTTCACTATGACCAATTTCAGATTGGATGAGGACAGATGGGGCTGATTTATTATTAAGTAATGGGCATTTTAAATATTGTGATAAATATCGTATCATGGACTTTTTATTGTGGCACATCCGTACAGTGAGTTTTTATTATGGTTACATCCCTAATGTTAACTATTCTATTTTAGATATTTATCTTCCAGCCGATATTAAAACACTGCGGTGTAGTGAAGATCTGCTGAGAAACATTCACATGTTTAGTTTTAGTTCAGTGTTACTTTGGCTGCTTCAACACAGCTCACCATAGCAAGCAGCTGCACAGACGCACCTGAAACACGTCACATCTCAGTGATCTGACAGGTTATTCAGATTAACTGTGTGTGTGTGTTGCCAGTTGGAGGCAGTGCTGAGGAAGCTCAGGTATGTGAGTAGGGAGAGAACTGTCTCAAATTTAATTTATTTAAAACCTCTTTAGCCCTGATCTTATACAAGTGAGCTGGAGCTGTCAGAACTACAGAGGAACACCTGGGGCTTTGAGGGTGACACGCAACACATGTCTAACAGCTACCAGTACAACAAATAGTCATTATGGTACCATGGTTCTGAAAGCACTCAAATGATCAGTGCTTCCACAGTTTTACACAGTGGGGTAAAAACTGACAGATGCAACTGCTGAAATCATGAAAACAATAAAAAAAAAACTGAATTCCAGAGTGGAACAAATGAAATTCATTCCCTAGATTAAAGTAGAAAAACAAAAAGCTGGACAGAGCTTCATCTGTTGCAACAGTCAGGTGACTCGCTGCTGGAGGGCGGAGCTACAAAGCAGAGCCACAGACGCTTCAGAGAGGAGAGACCAGTGCTGCTCAGGTTAACACAGGTAACAGCTGATTCTTCTTTAACAGGTGCTGATGTGACCCTGCTGTTGTCTCAGGCGAACAGGAGAGTATACAGAGCAGCAGACTCCTCTGAGTCCGGGATCAGGTATCTGGACCACATCGATAAAGTCCAGGATGGACTGTTCCAGCTGCTGCTCAGGTTGCTGCACTTCCTGACTGACAACATGGACCAACAGGTACACACACACACACACCTCCTGGGAACATCTGGAAACATCTGCATCAGACAGAGCAGTTAAACCAGTTTGTCTCACATGGAATAGTTTTATTGTCTGTGGCAGGTCACTGACACTTTACGTTAAGACGTCTGTGCTTCACGACCAGTTCACGTTATCAGTTTTAACTTGTGGGTGAAAAATGTTCATCATCATAGTTCTTCTTTTCAAAGGTTACTGTTTAGTCTTGTTTTTGTTGTGGAAACAGGTGAGCAAATATTCTGAACACAGGCAGAAACACTGATGCACTGTGTGTGCACTGTCGTCACCGTGTTTGGAAAATGTCAGACTACACACTACAGCTTCAGTATCTTACACTATTTACAGTAGAGGTCCCACACAGCTAATCCAGGATTTGATTTTAGTTAGTCCCACACTCACCTGACCTGGGGGCCCCCTGAGCACCTGAGGCGGACAACACATAAGACACATGTTGCTGTTGTGCTGAATGTTTAATTCTGTGTGTGTGTGTGCAGAAATGTGGTGCTGCATTGGGGGTCGTCTCTTTGCAGCTGCAAGAAACAGAAAGCGTGTTGTGCTGTCAGTGGGTGGCGGCCTCTCTGACCCGCTGAAAACCGTCATCACTCATGTTTACACCGCTACCAGTCTGCCACCCAGGATCTCTGTGGGTCACCATGGCAACTACCAGGTGACTCTGACATCCCACATCACACACACTCTCTGAGACATAACCAAACTAAACCCGTCTTCCTGCGTGTCAGGTGACCCTGCAGCAGAGTCTGGAGCTCTCTGCAATGGAACAGGAAGTGATGTGTCATTTGCTGCAGGTGAGAGAGGAGGTGGAGCATTTCAGAGCAGGGTTGGACAGGTATGCTCACTTGTGGAGGAATAACAGATGATAGGTAATGCAGGAGCTCCTGACCTACAGCAGACAGCTGGGACCTGAGGAGCTGGAGGGGCCCCGCCCACCCCGAAGGACTTCGAGAGATGAGACACCTGGTAAGGTGTTTTACTCCAGGTGAAACAGTCTGTCTGAAATCTGTGTTATAACCACATGAAGTATTTCTCAGTTATGACTGTATGTCCCCACTGCTGCTCACTGTCCATCAGGCTTGTCAGGTCACTCTGACCTCACCAGAAGGCTGCAGGTTTACAGTGACCCTGCTGTGTTTGTCTCAGGTCGAGTCACTCCACAGGCTGAGCAGTGAGGTGACTCACCTGGATGAGGTCATCGTTCTGCACGGCTGGCTGCAGGTCGACCTGCGACTCTTCAGAGACTCTCTGCTGTCACTCATCCATGACAGGAATAGCATGTACACAGACTACCTGCTCAGACGCAGGTAAACTCAGCTAATCCAGGATTTGATTTTAGTTAGAAAAACCTCTGACACTGACATTCAGTAGGTTTACTGAATCCAGCACACAGCTAATTCCACTTCTGCATTCCGCAGCCCGTCACGTAACTGTGTGTGTGTTCAGTCTGCTGCAGATGACTGAACAAGAATAACAATGGCCCAGTTTCCTCCAAAACCGCTGGGTTACGATATGTTCCTTCGAGTTTGGCCTGATCAGAAGCTTCTCCATAAACATCCACCACATGTGAAACATCCTGGTCTCTGTACTGACCCCGTTGCCACTCTCCTCCATGTTTATTGTTACGGTTTGTGAGGGGCCAACGGCAAAAGATGTACCACACACCAAAGTCTCATCTGGATCTAAGTCACATTCTGCATCTGCTGACCCAGAACGCTAGAGCATGGATCGGGCCGTATATTTCTGTCCAAACCTGACCTGTGCCCAAGAGTGTGGCATCCGAGCCCGACCAAGACCCGAACCCGGTCTGAGCCCTGGGTAACCACACTCTAAACTAGTTACTGTGAGACAACACAATGTTACAGACCAAGACCAGATTCTGACTGAAAGCCTGCTGACTCAGCAGGTGTCAACGTAACTTAAAAAGTTAGTATTTCCTGAAGGAAACCACCATTAGTGAAATATTGTTTTTCTTGAATAAGTAAGTATGATTCCAATTGCCAGAGGCAGGTTTTCATGGCCAAGGAATCATATTGTGAGGTTCACACCATCATGGGAATATTGTTTTTAGGCAGAATGGCACTATGGGAAACTGAGCTGCCTTTGGCAGAGGTGTGCACTCTGAGTGCTGTCTAGGTTTTTAAATTGGTTAATCATTCCACCAGTTTTGTGCCACTTCTCTGAGTGCAAGCGTGGGTGGTGGGACGCCCCTCCTATATACAGCTCCTAGGCTGAAAGAGAGAAGTCACTGCAGAAACAGGTCCCAGTACTTGGAGACCCAGCAATCCTCCCATGACTACTGCTTACTGGTACTTTTATTTCTACCAGACTGGTCTGGAAAAATAGTGGATTACAAAACATTGTCTGTTTCCAAAGACACAAAAAACAAGAAGATAAAGAACTTATTTAATAGAACTTTCTTCAAAAGCTGTAATTTAAACAAATGACCTTCCCCTGTTCACACAGACATACAGGTGGACACAGACAGGTAGAGAGTAAAGAGGCACGATGATGAGAAACCTACAGAAACATGATCTTAAAAAAAAAAAAAAAATTAAGTCCTTGTTTACGCTCAGCTTCTCCATGGCAACAGAAACAAAAACATTAATTTTGTCAGCATCTGCTTCTGCACACAGGTTTGAGTCCCGGCGCCGGCGGAAATAACCACAGCAACCAATCAGAGAGCAGCTAACGGCGGTAGACTCCAAAGGCCACCAGGCTGAGGAAGATGGTGAATCCAACCAGTGAGGCGGTGGCTGGGGCGGTGAAGAACTGCCGGTACTGAATCTGACAATACCACAGCACCGACAGCATGAGGACCAGCAGGGGGACCATGAGGCTGCCCACATTCAAAGCTACCTGTACCTGGTCTGCGGGCCGGGGCCCCCCAGTAGCCCCCTGCCCGGCATGCTGAGAGATGTGACAGTGCAGGACGCAGTTATGGGCCAGGTTCAGAGAGGCCAGAGTCTGAGCATCATCCTGCAGCAGTTGACCCTGATAGATCAACCGGACCTGCTGCTCCTGACCCGCAAAGTAGGTCCTGAAAAGTCAGAGATCACAGGTCAGAACCATTAACACTGAGCAGGTCTGGCTTGCTGCACTTTACTGTCTCTATAAAGTCTGTGTGGAGTGTTGTACATTCTGTGAATGGACCAGGATGTGAAGCTTCTCAGAACAGGAAGTGAGCCCTACGACCCCATAGTCAAGGTTAAATATACTATTGAGTCCCATAGTCAGGACTAGGACTAACAAATGTCAAACTTTAATTTTAGGACCTGAGGACAGAGGAGGGGTGTTGTAGAACAGCGTGGTGACAAAACCCGATCTGAGGTTGAGACTCCTAGTTGGACACAATGTCCTCATGCACTAAAACGCAGCTGTGACAGTTTTACACCAACAGCGTTGTTCCCTCCATCTAAATGTTGAATCTGTTCTTCAAACTTGGACTGATCTCCTCTGAGACACTTAATATGGACCTAATGTTACTTCACTCTAATGGCGTATTGACATTAGAGCAGAAAAATGTTTGCACGGGCCTTGCCATTGTTGTGTATGCGGTGCGCCACACAGAGTCTTCGGGGTGCGGAGCGCCGACAGTTCAGATTTGTTGAACTGTGACCTAGGTTGCACTGATCTTTGTTTGTGAAGCCAGTCATTGTTCTGTTTCGCCCCATCTGGGCCTATATTAATATAATCTTGCGTTACAGCATGCAACCAACGCTTCTGAATTTCACAAACTGTACAATAACATACAGTATTGTCCTCAAGATCAGACAAAGATGGACAAGCTGTTTAGCTAGCAAAATACCAGCACACAAATGCTGCTACCAAGATTGCTAAGAAAGAAAACACTTTGAGCCTCTACAACAGGGTTAGGGTAACCACAACCCTAAACAGGTGTACCTAATAAAGTTGCTGGTGAGTGTACAGTGGGTATAGAAAGTATTCAGACCCCCTTAAATTTGTCACTCTTTGTTATATTGCAGCCATATGCTAAAATCATTTAAGTTCATTTTTTTCCTCATTAATGTACACACAGCACCCCATATTGACAGAAAAACACAGAATTTTTGACATTTTTGCAGATTTATTAAAAAAGAAAAACTGAAATATCACATGGTCATAAGTATTCAGACCCTTTGCTCAGTATTTAGTAGAAGCACCCTTTTGAGCTAATACAGCCATGAGTCTTTTTGGGAATGATGCAACAAGTTTTCACACCTGCATTTGGGGATCCTCTGCCATTCCTCCTTGCAGATCCTCTCCAGTGCTGTCAGGTTGGATGGTAAACGTTGGTGGACAGCCATTTTCAGGTCTCTCCAGAGATGCTCAATGGGGTTTAAGTCAGGGCTCTGGCTGGGCCATTCAAGAACAGTCACGGAGTTGTTGTGAAGCCACTCCTTCGTTATTTTAGCTGTGTGCTTAGGGTCATTGTCTTGTTGGAAGGTGAACCTTCAGCCCAGTCTGAGGTCCTGAGCACTCTGGAGAAGGTTTTCGTCCAGGATATCCCTGTACTTGGCCGCATTCATCCTTCCCTCCATTGCAACCAGTCGTCCTGTCCCTGCAGCACCCCCATAGCATGATGCTGCCACCACCATGCTTCACTGTTGGGACTGTATTGGACAGGTGATGAGCAGTGCCTAGATATGTCCACACATACCGCTTAGAATTAAAACCAAAAAGTTCTATCTTGGTCTCATCAGACCAGAGAATCTTATTTCTCACCATCTTGGAGTCCTTCAGGTGTTTTTTAGCAAACTCCATGCGGGCTTTCATGTGTCTTGCACTGAGGAGAGGCTTCCGTCGGGCCACTCTGCCATAAAGCCCCCGACTGGTGGAGGGCTGCAGTGAGGGTTGACTTTCTACAACTTTCTCCCATCTCCCGACTGCATCTCTGGAGCTCAGCCACAGTCATCAAGTGCAGCAGAATTTTTTTTTGTAACCTTGGCCAGATCTGTGCCTTGCCACAATTCTGTCTGAGCTCTTCAGGCAGTTCCTTTGACCTCATGATTCTCATTTGCTCTGACGTGCACTGTGAGCTGTAGGGTCTTATATAGATAGGTGTGTGGCTTTCCTAATCACGTCCAATCAGTATAATCAAACACAGCTGGACTCAAATGAAGGTGTAGAACCATCTCAGGGATGATCAGAAGAAATGGACAGCACCTAAGTTAAATATATGAGTGTCACAGCAAAGGGCCTGAATACTTATGACCATGTGATATTTCAGTTTTTCTTTTTTAATAAATCTGCAAAAATGTCAAAGATTCTGTGTTGTTCTGTCAATATGGGGTGCTGTGTGTACATTAATGAGGAAAAAAATGAACTTAAATGATTTTAGCATATGGCTGCAATATAACAAAGAGTGAAAAATTTAAGGGGGTCTGAATACTTTCCGTACCCACTGTATGTTGCTTCTAAATTACTGTGCAAGTTTAATAAAAGTCATTTGCTTATTACTAATTGTTCTGGACCTCTTGCCTTGAATAGAAATCAGATTCAGACCTTTGACTGTTAAGTCTGAGAATCCTTGGTCTAGAACATAGTGAATCTACTGTTCGCAACGTTAGCACTGTAGCTAAGAAAGTGCCCCCGAGATTTTATACTTGAGTTTCTGGGCTGTCCAGTACAGAACACGCAGTGCAAAACCCTCATTTTTCTGCTGTAATGTGAACAAGCCTTAAGGCTGTAGTGCTGTGATAGTACTATAGTACAGGTTACCGTTTGATGTATCCAATGGTGTCCTGTGGTTTGACCTGAGCTGTTCTCTCTGTGTCATTCAGAAACTTCAGTCTGACCACCATGTCCCTCTGAGATGACGAAGGCTCTCCTCCACTGCTCCTCTCCCCCTCTCCTGCAGCCTCCCCCCTGTCTCCACCCCCATCACCCTCCTCACCCTCCTTCTCCTGGGAGGAAGCAGCAGAACTGGAAGAGAGGTCACTCACAGAGCTGGAGGGTGATGATGATGAAGAGGAGGCATTAGTGTTGGTGGAGGAGGGGTGTGTGTCTTGGTGGGAGGGGCTGGTCCTCAGTAAAGGGGCAGGGCCAGCGGTGGAGGTGAACAGGTGCTCTGGGGGCTCAGGGGTACAGGTGGAGATCCAGGCGAGCAGCAGCACCATGAGCAGTAGCAGAAAGCCAAACAGCAGCGTCACCTCGTCTCCTACACCTTCAATCAGAGCCATCGCCCACGGCAACGCCCGCTGAGGTCCACACTGGTAACACACCTGCACACAGGGGGTGGGGCTTAGTGGCATCACTTGACACAAGGTTATTTAGCTTCAGCAATTATATTAAATTTTCACCACACTCCTTTTTCAGAGTTCAGGGATTAGATTAGGTGGGTCTAGTTAGTGCACGAGACAGCGCTGTGTGAGTAATTGAAAAAAATGAAGCAGAGGGTAGAGAGTGTGGGACAGCAGATAAAAGTGACTGAACACAGTCATCTGAAGTCTGGGATCAGTTTATATCGGAGACCAAAAAGAAGCTAAATCTGACACGTGTGGCGGTGGCACGAGAACACTGTGGTAACGTTAATGCGCCTGATGAAGGGGACTCAGGAGCAGCAGCAACAAATTTACACATGAAGAAAAATAAGAAACTAACAAACCAGTGATGTACACAGAATTTGTATTTTGGGTGGGCCATTACAAAAGTTGGGCTTTCTTTTCCCATAAAACCTGCATGTTGAAGCAGCAGGGCACAGCCTGAGACTGCACACAGCGGCGTAACCAAACCTGTCTAGCCTATGCAGCCTAACATTTATTTGCAATAGCAGGCAAGTTTTATGCTTCTCATGTTATTACAACATGGTGCTTGACAGAAGATCATCTGAAACTCAAAATCAGGGCTGTAAAACCACCTGCAGCTCATGCACTAACCATTGAATTAACCCATTTATTGCACAGTGGCAATTACGCAAACAGCCAAACATGTTACTAAAGACAGAAATGTCCCTTGTGCACGAGCACCATTGTTCCTGCAGTACCACAGCTATCTTACGAAAAACCACAAATGTACAAAACTGTTAACATAAATTAGCAGTAAAAGGAAATCCAAAGGGAAAAAGAAATCTCCCAGTCAGATACTGTTTGAATTAAAAGACCAGACAGACAGTCTTTTATTTCTGTTGTAATAACTATAGCCTAGTCTACAGTGCAACCTGGCTGAAACTCCAAAATCTAGATTTTGTGCATTGACAGTTTTACCACGGATAGGTACATACACGGTACGTGTAATTCAAGTATACTGTAGCAATTCCCTCAGTGTGTGCTATCGTGGGAGTTTTGAGCTGTAGTCTTCCCTTCTCCAAGGTGTTTCTGTGCGTTTTTTTCTTTGTAGACCAAGAATTTCAGAGCAAACATGAGTGTGAGCCTCTTGTGAGTTGTCAGATGGTAGGCCTACGCACTTCAGACTATGTTTACGTTGTAGACACATGGTCAGTCTCTTGACATGTTACTTAGGCTATACACTTTCCACAGTATTGTGATGAAACTGGGCTGGGTGGGCCAGGAAAAAATGGGGGTGTATCAGAGCTGCCGAAGCCCATTTTCAGCTACATGCCAGTAACAAGCTAATCCTACAAGTTTTCTAATAAAACTAATTTTATACGGGATTGTTGATGTGGGTGGTAGTGATGCAAGTGATGACAACCTGATAGATCGAAGGAATAATTGACAGGTTGTCATTAAAACGGTTGTTAGTTTCACTCCTAAACACAACAACACAACCTCATCATCACCTCCTGTGTTCAGATCCAAACCACTGTTGGTCCGTCGCTCAACACTGTCTGACTCTGTCTGTGGCTCTCAGCTATGAGCTCGTTAGTTCCTACTGAAAACACCTCATAAGTGCACAGACCTGAGCATGTTTAACTGCGACACACTCAGCAGGATGGAGAATTCTGCGAAATTTCAGATTAATTAGCTTTTAGTTTCCATAGGTTTCGCTGGGAGGTTCACTGTTTTTATATATTCTTCTCATTAAATCCCATTTATTTAATAATCAGGAATTATGGTTGTAGTCCCCTGGAAGGAACTGGCAAATACGATGCAATAAATTATTCCAGGCCATCTTTTTGGCTTTCTATCATACAGTCACACTCTGATCACTTTAAGTCTTAAATCTAACCTGGTAACCCTGCAGGCTCACTGAGCTGCACACAGCACAAGACGTGCACACAACCAGTCCTGACCCAGAGCCTGCTCCTCAGGACCAGCGGTGTGGGAGCATCACATGCACCTCGGATGCCTGGTCCTGCTCTCTCCTTGAGAAGTTACTCATTTAGATCGTCAGCATCTTAGACTGGAGGCACCGGTTAAAGCCAGGGACAAGGGTTCACTGTCAGGAGACCCCTCTGGACACCCACTCATTGTTTGCCCCGGTGGCTATTTGAACCACTCCTGACCTCGGCTGTGTTCTTTTCCCTCGGCCTAATGATCAAGTCTTCAGCCCCCCCAGCGACAGAATACACGGACTGACCTCTTTTCACTGTATTTAGATTGACTTCTCTCTGTTGGTACAGAGCTGACTGCCAAGCAGACTGTTAGCCCGGGTTATCAGATCCAGTAGCAGTCCGGACATTATCCACAGCTCCGCTTGAACCCCCTAATACTCTTAACTACCTGATTATTAATAAACTCAGATTCATGCTGTGCTAATCTGTCAGCTAACTGTTTCACGTTACTGCGTTTAAACTCGGGACAGGAAGTCAGCCATGCTACAGAATAACAGCCAGCACTGTCGGGTATAATTACTGTACAAACAGTTTTTGGGTCAATCTGTAGGAAGAGAAGATAAAATAAAAACTTACTGTTTAGCTGATAAACCTCATATCATAGAGCCTTAGCCTGCAAGCTAATCAGACTAGTCTATTTTCACTGCTGATCAACAATTCCTGCTTCTACTTCTTCTTCTTCGGCGGTTCTGGTTAAACTAATGCAGCAGTGACGTATATTGCGCCCTGCTGGCCAAACGTTGAGTTCGTCTTCTTCTTGTTCTTCTGCTGCTTGAGTTTTAATCGCGGGCTACAGACCAACGTGAAAGGTGCATGCCGCCACCTACTGTACCGGAATATGTACATGTTATGTTTTCTTTCAGTTAATTTCACTTTTATTTGCATAGCGTCAAATCGCGACAACAATAATCTCAGAGCACTTGACACAGTCAGGTCTAGACCTCACAGTATTATAGAGGAAAAACCCAACAAATACCCTCTGAGCAGCACTTGGTAACACCTTTATCAGAAGAAACCTCCAACAGACCCCAGCTCTTAGTGGATGGCCTTCTGCCTCGACCAGTTGGGGTGAGTGGATAGAGGAGAGACAAAAGAAGAAAAGCAACAAGACACAACAATCAAACACTGATCAGGTCGATGTGGCTGGTGACTGCTTGTCAGGGACGTAGAGCTCCAGGGCCAGGGCTACCTGCAGAAAGGTACAGGGAGAGAGAGAGGACACACTACGAGGGAGAGAGAGGACACACTACGAGGGAGGGAGAGAACACACTACGAGGGAGAGAGAGGATACACTATGGGAGACAGAGAAGGACACACTACGAGAGAGAGAGGACACAGTTAGTGACAGATAGTGGTTGCATATAGATAGATGGAGAGAGAGGAGAGGGGAAGAGCTCATCATGGACCCCCCAGCAGCCTCGGCCTATAGCAGCATAACTAAGGGAAGGCTCAAGGTCACCTGATCCAGCCCTAACTATAAGCTTTATCAAAAAGGAACGTCTTAAGTCTAGTCTTAAAGGTAGAGAGGGTGTCCGTCTCCCGAACTGAGACTGGGAGTTGGTTCCATAGGAGAGGAGCTTGATAGCTAAAGGCTCTGCCTCCCATTCTACTTCTGTGGACTCTAGGAACCACAAGTAAACCTGCACTCTGAGAGCGAAGTACTCTGTTAGGATGATAAGGCTCTACGAGGTCTTTAAGATACGACGGAGCCTTGTCATTAAGGGCTTTGTATGTTAGGAGAAGGATTTTAAACTCTATTCTGGATTTTACGAGGAGCCAGTGGAGAGAAGCTAATATGGGAGAGATATGATCTCTCTTGCTAGTTCCTGTCAGGACTCTGGCTGCAGCATTTTGGATTAACTGGAGGCTTTTTAGGGAACTATTGGGACATCCTGATAGTAAAGATTTACAATAGTCCAGCCTGGAAGTAACAAATGCATGGACCAGTTCTTCAATATCACTTTGAGACAGGATGCTCCTGGTTTTAATGATATTGTGCAGATGAAAGAAGGCAGTTCTAGAGACTTGGTTTATGTGTGATTTAAAGGACATATCTTGGTCAAGAATGAGTCCAAGGTTCCTCACAGTAGTGCTGGAGGCCAGAGCTATGAGGTACTCCTGCCATCGGATACAGACGGCTAGGATGCAAATTCATTCCTATTATTTCAAATATCATTGCGGTTTGGGCAGTTTAAAATCGACTCTTATCCCATTTATATGCACTACTTCTCTCATTTTAATGTTAATCGTCTAATGTATGTAATGTTGACCTCGGGGTTGGCTAAGTAATGTAACTGCGGTCAAATCAGCCGCCGTTCAGTTTTCCGTGGTCAAGCCAGCCGCGCTAGAATTTGAAGTGCGCCTATATACTCTATATACTTACATTTACGGTAAAGGTATTGAAATGGGCCAAAGCTCACGATTTTCAAAATAAAATACCTTAACTCCAATGCTGGCTTAATTATGAACTTTCAAGTTTAAAGGTATTGAAATGGGCCAAAGCTCACGATTTTCAAAATAAAAAGATGTGACTCCAATGCTGGATTAATTATGAACTTTCAAGTTTAATAAAAACACTTTTCTTAATATTTGCAGCATAAGGACATCATTCCTAGATTCTACATCACCCGCACTATTACCACACAAAGAATCAAGCATTTCTACTGTACCATTCTGGAGAAAACTCACATTAAAGATGTGACTGCAATGCTGGATTAATTATGAACTTTCAAGTTTAATATAAACACTTTTCTTAAAAGTGCTTTAGACAAGAGGAGGGTGGAGACGAGAACAGGAGTAAGCCAGCAGACAGACAATTGAAGTGTCACAATGTTTAAAAAAAAAA